ATTGAAGGAATTGAACAGAGGCGTGGTCGTGGATTATCACGGGACCGGATCGAGTTAGCGATACGGAATGGAACTCTCTAACTAGAGGTTTATACCATCCTAGGCGACTCCAGGGGAATGTATTAATCATACTGCATCCCTGAGGGGATAACTTACAACAGCATAAAACCGACGTCAACAAAATTGGCATTCGAATGTCGCTGGCACGTTCGACTTGTTTCTCTCGACCAGGGGAAGTGTCGTGAGGTGTATTCAACGACTCGCTTGCTTTTCCTCGTACCCCTTCCCCTCTCGCTATCTCCCGTAGTGGCTCGTATTTTGAAATTCAAATATGGAATTTTGCATTCCAAACTGGCTCAGAGCATCGCTGCAGCTTACCGGACATACATAGTCAGTAACACATTGACGTTGTCTATTATGTTAGGGAAATTGTTCAACATCTTCCAAATACATTTTATCTATAGTTATGTAACAAAAACGCTTCATATTTACTAAAAGGTCTTGTAAAACTAATGTCTTAATTCCTTAAAAGTTAATAGATTGAATTTTTGCCATAACTGATCAAAATTAACAAATAAGAAACGATAGAACCGTCGAAAGCTTCAAAATTAGGCCAAAGCTGTCTATCTCCGTTGATTTATTCAAGAACGCAGCTTTCTTTTGTTCTGTTCCTCAGTCAATGTTCCTCCGGGGATTATGAATATTAAAAATAAATTCACAGAGGCGTTGCTATGGGAGAAAACTTATTCAAACACTTAATCCACTTTTAGAAATGAAAAAAAAAATTAAACAACTTCCTTTAAAAAAATACATTTCAGTTATGAAAAGAAAGGGAAATCGCAAGTAAAAATTATTAAATCCAATAGCAGTAGTAGTAGTAGGCGGCGCACTGTGGACGACATCTGCCCCACTTTGGGGACGTAGGACAAGAAGAAGTAGTAAATATATTGTAACTACCATAATTAAAAAAAAAAAGAAAAACACAGATAACAAGTTATTAACATTAGATAAACATAGTTCAATAAATCGTCTAATCATATTAGAATCGACCTTCGCGACTTTCAAAATTGTCAAGAATCCATTTTAATACGTCTCGATTCACGTTAAAATTGCTAAGTCATGCAAACGAGCTCCGTAGGTCCCTAATTGAATAAACCTTGGCGGAGAAATGAAATATTTCTTGCTATTGGACACAATTTGAAACGATCCGACTGTTGTGCATTCCAATTATAAATTCTTTATTAAATGTAGAAAATTTTCATATCATAAATGATTCAAGAAGTTCACGATAATCATTAGAGTTCATATCAAGTAACCAAATTACAAAAGGAATGTTACAACTGTGTTGTGTTTTGTTATCACATTAGCTGTTCCAGTGCGGCTTCATCCGCATGGAATTATAAAATCTTTTTTTTTTATTGTATAAAATTACCGTTATCATAATGAACTTGCTTCCTTGATGTTGGTAGCTTGTAGTTTATGGTCCCTATCCCACTTGAAAGTATTTTCAACTTACACCTAAATTTAATAGCGTGAAAATTAAAAGCCTAAATCGTGGCATAACTGTAGTAACTTTTTTTTGAAGCAAGAATCATTCAAAAATATGCTGTGGTTACTGACATCCAACGCTACGAAGTAGTGTGTGTTTACGGTCTATTATGTAACAGCATAGTATATGTAGACAGATAGATTGAAATTATTGTAATACTTTCTGGTTCAAACGGATATATCAAGGAAATAGGCATTTGGTAAGATGAATTGACACTCTTGCAGATTGTTTCCCGGCGCGAGTAGGACCGAGCGACGGCGGGAAATATAAATAAAAATTCCTACAATGGAATATAAATTGACGATTATGTTACATTCTCGATGTTGCAATAAAATATTTCTGTTAGGATAGTCACGTATGCAAATGTATTGCTATCTATCGCGTTTATTGATTTTGAACAGACTGCTTAATGAATAGAATATTCCAGTTTTCGTTTGATTATTATATTAATGTTGTACTAATGGAGAAATGGACTGTGAATATTTACGCAGCTGATATTCATAATTGTATAGAAAATATTAAATTAATAATTATAATTAAGTTAGATAGATTTTCGTTTTCTTGTTTGAGCGACATTATACCATACTTCATACTAATATTATAAATGCGAAAGTTTATATGGATGGTTGGATATTTATTAGAGTTTGTAGCCTAAACGGATCTTGATGAAATTTTGTACAGATGTGGATAGTCTAGAACACATAGGCTACTCACTTTTGTTATTGCTTTATTCCACGCGGACGGAGTCGCGAGTGAAAGCTAGTGATATATAAAAGTTTATAAAAGGCATCTGCCTTGATTGTACTTGAAATTTTCCAAATGTTTTTAAGATTTATGTATACAATTTTTAATATTACCAAAATTAAGAATCTTCTACGAGATTATAATTGGACCCACGTAAATTCGCACGAGGTTGCTTCTATTAAATTTTACGACAAACACGAACCCTCGTGAAACTTTGTTAATAAAGGGTACAATATATCGTTACCGGATGCCGCACGGATTCGACACAACAACCATCGACGACCTGAACAACTATAACATACGATAATAACACTTCCAATTATACACTAAATAATATATATCAATTATATTCAGAGTTATTAAAGGAGAACGAATAACTACTTGAAAGGTTCACATATATAATAAAAAATCCATATAATACATTCTTTTATACACAGGATGTGCTTATTAAAAAGGAATTCTGATTCTCCGAAATAGACATAGAGGAATTCATGTTTCAAATTTCCTAGCAAAGAAATCATTAGTTCCCAGTATTGTTGTCGCAAAGGTTAATAAGAGTACCTTTGGAAATTTTGATTTGAAGAAAAACCGATTAGCTTAAATATTCCCTGAAATTGGAATAAGGGTAAAAATCCATGACGTCAGCAGCGACGTTGAAGCCTGTGCACCCAATCTCCGTGCCGGTGCGAGGGCATGTCAGATATTCCTGACATGTGACAGCTCTGTCAGACTCCGGCTAAATTCCGTTTGTACGAGAAACGTGCTTACTGGTACAAAATGCGTAATTGACAAAGCAATGCGTATATTTAGAATATCTTTAGTTACCATCATAAAGTATTGTTTGCATTTCTAAACTACATTTATTTTAAATGTATTAGTATTTCTTAATATAGCTTTGTATTCTTTCAATAATTGAATATTAAAATAGAGGAAAACATTAATGAAATCCACTAATAACATTGTTATCAATCTCTAAATAGACTTGTATATGCGAATTCTTTGCCCTATAAACCTATACTGCTAAGCTACAAAACCGTACAAGGTATTACGTAAAATACAATTTTATACCTCAGATAAGTCTATTACCAACAATCGTAAACCCTACTTTGAAGTGGGTTTAAAGCAAACTCTAGGATCTACAACAAATGGACCGGGCGCCGACGCCGGAGGAAGTCTCTTAAACGATGATTCGATATAATTCCCGTGCGACTCCCTAAAGTGCTTTCATCGCAACCTGCCTTCTACCTGCAACCTTTAAGCGACTGTGCCCATCTTGCGTTAATCTTCAATATCACCTTGATCTTCCATACTAATATTACGAGTATAAAGAGGAAAACTTTGTTTGTTTGATTGTAATGAATAGATTCAAAAACTACCAAGCCGATTAAAAAAATCTTTCACCGTTAGAAAGGTAATTTATCGGTAAGTAACATAGGCTATTTTTTTTCATTTCTTCATTATTTTTTTTTAAATTCCACGCGGACACATGCAAAAGCTAGTATTAAATAAAATTATTTTTAACTTCTCTTTCCTACTTCACGATTCAGTTTTATCCTTACTGGACATTCACTTTCTCTAAACAAAAGCAATTGATGAATTAATGACACAGAAATAAAATTGTAATAATCAACGTATTAATTATATTTTTTTCGGAACAACACCAATTATGCCATAATTCCTTCTGTGAAATGAAATATTAGAAATTTAAGGAAACACAAAATTCTGTAGACAGTAAAATAATTTTGACATTAAATAAATTATCACATAAAGAAGCAGACCATTAAAAAGGACAATTCATTAAAAGTACAGAACATAAAACTGGAATAAGAAACGGCATAGCTAATTAAATGTATCGTCAGCATTTTATTTCACAAAATATAACAAGGTCGAGTCGTTGAAGAAATGTTTCCCACTACGTTTCGCACAAAGGATCGGGGGGCGGCTTCACGGGATAATAATTTCAAGGAAACTGCTCCAGGGTTTTTTTTTTCATAAGCAGCGCACTCGGCCACTGAAGGGAAATACGGCCCCATAAAGTTGCAAATGAAGTAATATCGCTCTCGACTTGACTTACTGCCGAAAACTTAGAAAGTGCCCGCACAGCCGAACTGACTCCCGGCATTATACTCCAACGGATCCCACGCTGTTTGCTTAGTGTCATTTAATTAAACCGAACCGGCCGACGGAGCGGATCGAATGGCCGCCTGACCTCGGACACTTTCTAATTAATGTGGACCATTATACTATGGTCTCTTGCAACCTTATATTACGATGTTACCTTTGTTTCACTGATAAGTCCAATATTTTTTTGCTAGGTCTACAGTAATGGATCATAAAGCTTTTTAAAGAAATGGAATGTTAACTGCTGGTTTAATCTGCGTTATTTTTTAAAATTAGAATTATTAAAAGCTCCTGTTAATAGATAGCCAAGGATCAGAGCGAGGCATTCTCGGGGCTTACATAATTACGAAAGTGCCTGAGGCGTAGACTAAGGAAATTACTCAAATGCCATAAATAATTTATAGGGATTTGGAGCGGAGCAAGTTTTGAGTGCTTTTAGGGTTTGTACAAGAGGCTTTACAATCTTTCATCGAAACCATTGCCTCAACAGGTACTATTTTATTTGAACAACATCGATCAATAATGCTATGAACAGTTATTTGAAGGGTTTTGGAGTTAATTAATTGGCAATTTTGAATTTACCGCTATGAAGTATGCGATGGCAAGATGCTTTGAAAGTGAGAAAAATCGCTGCTAACTGGATATGACATTTGGCTGTTTGAATAAAAGTTCAACACTACTGAAGGAATTACTAAGACTTAAGATAAAAGTCCTAATGGAAAACAAAACACGACCAACAGAGTAAAATTCAATTTAAGAATTACATGGTTGTCATAAATTACAATTAAAACATAAAGTTAAAATGTAAAGTGGTCGTTGCCGCAGTGAAATAGCCGCACAGATTTTTCAAGTCCATTCACATTTTTAATGGTAGATCGTATAGTGTTCCCAGGGGTGTGATTCTATGTATTAAATGCAATATTTTTGCAGACGGCGAGCACGAGGGGCTGACTGCCCTGCTGGGGTCCGCCTCGCCTGACCTCGCGCTGGCTTCCGACGCCTCCGACAGTCTGCCTTTGCCCGACCATGATAATGGTGAGTGAGTAAAGTTATATTGCTACCATATTTATATTACTAGAGCTGACAAAACACTCGAAATTATATAAAATTAGCTATTGCTCTCGAATTCCTTCTCGTGATATTGAAAAAAAAAAACATTAAAAACATAACCTATGTTACTTGCTAATGCCGTAGCATTTATATGGTAAATTTTTTTTTTGAAATCTGCCCAGTAGCTTTTGAGTTATTTCAGTACACAAAAAATACAAATCTTTCCTCTTTATAATATTTGTATAGATTACGTTTTTCTTCGATTTATGTGTTTGATTAATTCTAACTTCTTACAATTATTTTCTCAGAGACATTGGAGATAATTTTAATAAATATAAATTTGTTAAAATATAGGAGTATCTGTATCAATATTTTTCGTAGATATATCCTAAGCTAATAACGTAGCAATAAATGCTGTATTTGATTTGATTTTATTAGTACTTTGTGACATCAGTAAAGGCAAAGCTTCTTAAAGGGAGAACATGTAAAGGAAACGTTATTAAGTGGAGAGCAACATATGAAAGACGTAGCTTAAAGACACCACGATACCATAAAATGTACTCGGAACTAACGTTCACTTTGACTCATTCGGTTTGCGTACGAACGTGAAATTTAACTAAAAGACATCTTACATATGTACGCTTACAAAATACTCTTTATAACGTTCGCTTCCGTCTCTTGATGAAATTCCACGACAAATGCGGTACGGTTTTTCGTTTAGCAATTTCAGATATAGGGACTGTAATTTAAAAAATACTCATTGGTATATTAAGTTCTCGTTACCTGCTTTGTTAATATTAGTTTGAATGACCTCAGCCATAGATGGCGTTATTACAAATTAAAAATTATTGATCATAATTAACAGATTGATGACATAATCTTGTATGTATTTAGTGCAAATGGAAAATATATCTGTAGTATGAATTGACTTGTAAATAATGCAAAGAAACATTCCCTGCGTTCTGTTTGCTAACGCAAAATAGCTGTTTACGTAATGGCAGGCATTAATTTATGCCACTTGAATTGATGAATGCGGTCTCGAAGCATTAAGAGGAATAGATCGTTGCGTCTCCATTCCCCTAACTACGACCCAATGCGAACTTTTAAGATTGATGAGTTCACCGCAGTGACAACTCGCGGAGTTCCGAGTTCCCCTTCACGAGTTCCCTTTAGCGAATCGGGACTAAAGTTGTCAGTTTTATGGCTCGAGCACCGTAAAGATATAAGGCACTTTATAACAATCTGTTAAGGGAATCTTGTTAATTGCCGCGCGACTTTATTAAGATTCATAATTCCAACGATGGAAAATGATACATTTAAGTAATGTTAACGGAAGAATTTTCTTAGAAGTTTTTGATGCTAAGCAGATATATATTTTCTACAATATTTCTTATGTTTTAACAATACCAAGCTGATACTTTTACAGTCACATCTTACCTTTGTATATCCAATGTTTGTTGTCAATATAAAAAACAAAATTCGTACTAGTAAGTCACGAGCGTTAAATGTGAGGCAACCACAGACTCGGCTGAGTGAGTTGTTAGTTTGCTCTCGACTGTCATTTGTCATCTGCATCTAAAATTTCAAAGGCAGTTTATTTTAGAACGAAATAGCATACGCTTACTGCTGTTACTCGCAGACGCTCAATGTGTCTCTGTAAGCCGAAACCGCGAAACGCTCGACTGTCGAAACATTAAGATTTAGTTACGTTTTGAAGAGAAATTTATATTTGCCCCGTTTAATTTCACGCTTGAGGAGCAAGCTTTTGTGACTTTCTATGATGCGATGGTGAAATTCTCACAACCAATGGATGCTAGATTTAAATTAAAAAAAAAACTTTTATATTTATGTATAACTATAGGAGACAAATACAAGTAGGTTAACTACTTAATGTATTTTAAAAGGCTTTAAAATACGGATCGATGATTTAGTATGGTCCACTATGTTAATTTGATGAACTTAGATTGCAATCCTTGGATAAGCACTTCTATTGAACACTCAATGCACAATATTACTAGAGATTTATTAATTCAAGGTACATTATTTCAATATAAGTTATGGAATATTTCTAAGACAATGGTTATTTCTTGAAACTTGTAATAATTAAATTAGTACCGACGCCAAACAATTTTCGTAAACACTCCGGGGCTTCTGCTTTTGTCGTGACCACGAACTGTGTTATTTTACCCCTTGACCTGTTTTACTATATAACTTTTAATATTGAAATTCTGTAGACGTCGCTTCAGTATATGCACTAATCGTTAAATGTTATCATAGAATATCACTGCTGTCATCTATCAAGTACTGACAAAGGGTTAATACGTATGTTAATACAGTAGTGACAAAGATCAGACAAAGGACAAATTTCCTTTTACAAAACAGACACTAAAATGTATTAATACAAATTCATATTTCTTGTTAACAATCAATTTTATTAGCATATCTCTGAGCCTCGGAGCAAAAATTTACTATCACATACACCAATAATTATTATTTTTTTTAATACGTATAGTATTAAATAACTATTCATGCACCTCATGTAACATATCCGTCAGTCTCAAGCATGACTGACGATTCACGTCTTACTATATTTCAAGCATGTCGGCTCTCTCATTTATCACAACAAAGCTCGAGGTGGAACCAAACGTCAGTGCGACAAATAGTCGCATGGCACCAAACGTAGTACAGGCACCATCTTAAACTAGCTTCACACGACGATAGTGTTTTGTTCTCCTAGATAGAATAGTACTGTTTGACAGTAAATGTGTACAAGTAATAGTGGTACTGCGTTTCCCTACAGCACTGTTTCACCCTCGTGTGAATATAAACATAACCGTGATGCGAGAACTAAACTTTGGAACCTGAGCGCCGCACTCGGCCCGCTATTTTGTCAGTCATATCTCATGTGTCATGCTCCAGAAATTTATGTTACAGAAATGAAACATGCACGTGAATACAACTTTACATAAAAAACATTTGAAACACTGTCTACGATTTATTTATTTTTTATTCGTCTCTTAAAGTTCTTTTTAACTCTTCTAATAGATTCCTTTATTTTTACTACTTTTCTCCCTTGACTCCATCCGCGAGGAATTAACACAAAACTTAGTAAGTAGCCTATGTGTTCTTCCAGAATATCTACTCGTACATATGCCAAATTTAATCGAAATCCGTTCATCAGTTTAGGTTACAAACTCTAACAAACATCCATCGAAACATTCGCATTTATAATATTATAAATTGGAATTAAAAAAAACAAAAGTGAGTAGCCTTTGTGTTCTTCCAGACTATTCTGTACATCTATACCAAATTTCATCGAAATCCGTTCAGCCGTTTAGGCTACAAACTCTAACAAACATCCATCCATCTATACTTTCACATTTATAATATAAGTATGATTTAAAATAATTGCATCTTATACATTTAGTAGTTATGTTTATAAATGTTATTACCAGGTATGTGTATACCGAAATATTGATTGTGAATGATAAAGTTATTCTTTTCTGTTTATGTTCTGGCCTCACTCCAATATCGTATTACGTGCTCGTGAAATTTATCAAAGAAATGCATTGGCACATTTCCGAACGAACTCTATTGACTACGAGGAATACAAAACTAAAATGTCGTATAGACACTTTTCAAAGGTCATATGAGTCAATTACAACTTATCACAATGGTTACAATCATATATCATATCATGTTATCATATATCATATCATATAAATATTATAAATGCGAAAGTTACGATGGATGGATGGATGTTTGTTAGTGTTTGTAGCCTAAACGACTGAACGGATTTCCATGAAATTTGACACACGTTTAGAGCACAGTCTGGAAGAACACATAGACTACTTTTTATCCCGGGAAGAGTTACGGTTCCCGTGGGCCTCATTGATTTAGTTTTTTTTTTTATATCTATTCGATTATTCTACAACGGTTCAACATATGTTATTGAAATTTGGCACAGATATAAAACAAAGTCTGGAGTACACATGGGATAAAGTTGATCCCCGAGAAATGTCCGGTTCCCGAGGGATACATAGCTTTTTGTTATTTATATAGTTCGTATGTTTTCTAATATTACGCGGACGAAGTCGCGGGCAACAGCTAGTATGAAATGTATACATGTATATTAAACGTGTAATTAATTAAATGGAAAGAAGTACAATACAGTGAACACTGTCAGACTCTCTTTGATTATTACTATTTTATTATTTTCCCAGCCCGAGTATGACGGAAGTTCCGTTCTAGATATGTAAATAAAGTTTTTCATATTAAAGACATAGCATGCTTTCAAAAGAAAGAAAGAATGTAATGAGCGTCAACTAAAGAGTTGACGCTCATTACATTCATAAAAAAGTTTGTTTTTAAAATTTTAAGGACGTATCACAGCCAAGTCTCAACTCCCTTGAGTGTTGTAATCAAATAATAAAGGACTAAGGATTTCTAAAGTACAAACTGAGAAGATTACTCTCAGAATGTTACTTATAATCCTTATATTAATTTTGCTCTTACTTTATCTCCGTAGACTGTTCGTAGCACCCGCGTAGAGGTAGCTTTATTACGTAGGTTTCTAAATTCTTGTTTAACAAATTATGTTAACAGAGAGTTAATTATCATACTATTGTTATAAATGGAAAGACGATAACTCTGGCAATAGTTTCTATTTTTAAGAATTTGTATATATAAAAAAATGTTTATTTATGTAAATGCTTGTTTTCTTTATAAAGCATAAATCTAAATTAATAAAGTACAGTTTCTAATCTAATTTTGTGAGCGTATTTCGTAGATTGATTGATAATATTGAAGAAATAGGAACATAATTACTTTTCTTGATGGAGATATTTAGCTTTTTATGTTAATAATTAGGCATGGTTAACACAAGGAAATACTTGGTTTGTAACTTACAAATAAAATATAAAGCATATTGAAAAATTATTTAAAATATATTAAGTGTTAAAGAAAATGGTTTTAATAATAATAAT